GGGTGCTGGCGCTGCTGTGCCTTCTGCCCAGCTTTCTGTGCTGCTACCAATCTGGGCTTTTTGAACAAGGGGCGCTGCATGGCCCTCTCACCCTCGGACGGCTTGGGGCTGGGCGGGGGGCGCTTCATGCCGTCCCCGGGCTCCATGCTGCCCTGGCGGCGGCCAGAAGCGGTGAGTCGATTGTAACCAGAACAGATGGGCAGACGGCGTCCTTCCAGCGTACAAGAGGCTAGCCTGCGGTGCAGATCAGCGCGTTGTCTCAAGTCAGGCTTGGGTTGACCAGCTCTGGCCATGTCGTTGATGCAGGCTGAGGATGCCTCACAGGCGGGCGTATAGTGACCCCGTGCTTACCCTACACCGTTGCAGCCGGTGACTCGGGCCTCCGGGGGGTCGAGCAACAAGTTGCTGCTCCCCAGTGCATCCGATCTTGCACCACGCTGGCCGCAGAGAGCTGTCGGATGTCCTAAGTATCAAGCAAGATGACAGCGCCTCGCTCTTGTCCTTACTGTGCTCTTCAGGGCCGCCTCTAGGTTTGCTTCTCCAACGCCGTGCGCAACGCAGCTCGGGCTGCGCTGCAATCGCAAGAATGACCTGTTGAATTGATCAAAGCTGCCTCAGAAAGCTGATCGCAGTGCGCTCTTGGACAGAGATGACATGGCAGTCGCAGCAGAGCAGCTGCCGGCCTCGCTGTTGACCGCCGCGGCATGTGGATCATCTATGAGACGCCCCTTCAGTGACTTGCAGCAATCAGTTCTGTGATTGTTTCCGCCATAGCTCGTCACAAAGCTGCCTGCTGCCTTGCTCTTCGCAATGCCAAGTATGCAACCCCTTTGCTGACGGCAACACTGAACGGGTCACTAGTCTTGATAAATGCAGCGCCCCCAAGCCGCATGCGGAGCAAGCAGGCCCCGCATGCGGCTGCCATTCGCACGATAAACATAGATCACACCAAAGAGTTACAAGTCAATGCGCTTGAGCGTATCATCGGGCAAGCAGCAGCATGAGACCATCACGGGCTTTGCGGCGGCTGCACGTCCCCTTGAATTAAAACATTGGGTCTGAGGAATGCCGCCAGGCCAGGCCAGGAGGGCAGTGGACACCACAAAAAGCCCTGCCACGACGCAAGTGGTGTGCGTGGCTGTAGGGGGAAGCTACTGAACGAGCACAACTCAGCTGGTGGTGGCGAGACAATTATCGGTGGCGGCAGTGGCGTCGTTCTTGGTGCACACCAGCGCCCCCGCCGCAACCGCGGGGCTGAACCCCATGTCCAACAGCTGCGTGTTGTTGTTGCAAAAGCCCACCACCTGTAAGAAGTGTGAGCATGTGTGGCGGGTGGCAAGTATGAGCGGCGCATGGCCAAGGGGCCGCATGCGTATGCACGCCAGCGTGCTTGCTGGAGCCGGGTGCTCCACGTGCGCCGGCATGTGCCGCGCATTGGAAGGTTACGGGGCACCCGCAGGGCCCTTAGTCCTTCTGCCTCAGCCTCTCGGGGTGAGGCTGCAACACCAGGCCTTCAAGCTTCTCAAGGCACTCTGGTACTGATGAGGCGCGAAGGTCCCCGGCGGCTGATGCGCACGTAGGCCTCGTTGCCGCGGGTCTGCGCCTGGTAGGCAAGGGCCAGGTGCACCGCTGCTGGTGTGCATCCATTTCCAATGTATTTGCCGACCTTGGTGCCGGCATTATAGGCGTCCTGGACGGGGTTCAGGGTGGTGGTGGGAAAATGTGCCGTGTGCGGGTGGCTGGTTTGAGGGCAGCAGCGCCTGGAGACAGAGGCATGAAGAGAACCATCCGGTGTGACACGACACGCGTGCAGTTGCGGCACTTGCAGAGGCCGATTGGCGGCGCTGCAACAAGCCACGCTTGCAACCATGAGCTTCACTGGCACCTGCGCCCCAGAATCAACACGTGTGCAGTACAAGCCATGGCTGGGCTGCAATGACGGCCCCTGCTCCACCGCCCATTGCCACCTTAGGCTAGCCCAGGAACCGGTCCACCAGCCCGCGGCCTCCTGCTGCATTACCTGGCACTCGTAGTCAAGCCGCGCTGAGGCCTCGAGCTCGCCTCCAGCGCCGCCGGCAATGTCGATTGCAATCCTGAGGAAATGCAAGGTGACGCCGCACATGGCGATGTGGTCAAGTTGGGCTGAGGCGCTCGCTTGGCAGTCAGAAATCAACATTGCTGCCGTCACCTGGGGAGGCCCGCCGTAGGTCTGGAGCGTCGTGCTTGCACAGCACGAGCACGCGCACAGCACGGGTTGGCGCTTTGCAACATCGCTCAGGTCACAGGATGGTCCCAACGGCACCCACCAGGGACTCCCATTCAAGCACATCTGCCAACTCGATACAGTGCGGATGATGCATAGCTGTCAGTCTGGAAGCGAGAACCCGCATCAGGCTCCTGCTTCACGGGGAGGGCAGACCGCGTACTGGCGCGCTCCTCCCCGCTGCTGCGTGCTGTGCCAGAGAGGGTGGCGCCACAAGACCATTGACACGCAACCTCACATGGTATGCTGGTTGCATGCGACCAGGCAAGGGAAACGAGGCAGCCTGACAATGTCGAATCGTTGGCGGGTGCGTCGCGCCCGCGTGGCCGTCCCGCAACGCACTGCGCGACTGTAATGGAGCAACACAGTGATTTCCTTTGGGTTCAAGGTACGTGCAAAATCCCGCAGTTTTTTATAAGTCCGGGTTCTGATAGGCCTGCGTACAGAAATGCGCGTTGATCGTGTGAGCTGTGGGTGGTGGGGTCCCGATGCACTAGTGCGAATTCGGACCCAGTCAATTGTCGCCTTGCACTCAATATATTCGCACCGACGAAACCGCTGTTGATGCCACATCACGGATGATCTCATCTCGGAATTGAACTGCACTGGTTGAGGTGGGCTCTCATTTCTGGCAGAGATCAGATCCGCAGTCCATACCCGGCCCAGGCAGCAAAGCATATGAGTACTTCACTTCGCCTAGGCGACAAGCAGCTTGGCCCGACTGCCACCGACGCGGGTGCGTTGTGCGCCCCGCGCAGCTCGCCAGAGATGCAGCACGCTTCTTTGCGGCGGCGCCCACATGGGCGATCGGTCACTCAGGCATTGCCCCAGATCAGCAGCGGGTGGGGTGGTTGCCAGGCTGTGCGCCAGCTCCTCCTCCTGCGCAGCCAGGGTGGCCACGGCGAGCAGGCGCGGTCGCATGCGATGGCGGGAGCGAGCGCAGAAGTGTGTGCTGCAGCCACAGTGGCGTGACTGGCAGCAGGACATTTCAAAGCATCCGGGTGTTGCGCAGGTGGGTTTCAGGTCAGCTTGCTTGCTCAATGAGGACGGCTGTGCGACATGGAACGAACCTCTGCAACCAGACAGTAGCAGAGTGCCGCTGACGCAGCAATCCTGTGCAGCTCGGCCTGCGATTTGCATCATCATTGTTTGATCTGTCAGGCACGCACATGCGGTCGCAGCCAGCCCGTCGGCTCCCTCAGCATTTCTCCCTACCACAACCTGCCTTGCAGGTCAGGTGACCAAACTCCCCAGTATTACTACTCCTTTCTGCTCTCACTTTTGCCACCACCGCGGCAACATCACAACCTTCCGCCTCTGGCGCACAACGGAGAGGTGTTTGACACACGTCACCACGAGAAGGTGCGGCACTCGGGCTGGCGGCATGTGCTGTGGCGCGCACAGGCGCGGCGGCCCCGGAAGCCTTGAAATGCTGGGAGCTGGCTCGAGAGCTGCAATCGGCGGCGTGTTAGTGCGCGAGATTGACAACCGCACTCGGCTGCACGCCCCCGCGGCCGGCACTGCGGCGCCCACAGGCGGCGCCGCGGTGGCGGGAACTGTGGCTTTCGCAGGCAGCAGCGGAGCAACAGCAGCAGTGGTGCCTGCGGAGCCAGCAGGGTCCTGCAAGGTGAGACGGTGTGCTGAGCTGCGACGGTTGGAAGGTCATATGTCACCGGGTATGCTTTGTCATCACGCCAGCGTTTCCTTCTGCTCCTTACATTGCTGGGCAGTCACTGTGTCATAGCAAACAAGCCTGCGTACCCTGCGACACAGACAAACCTGAACGCTCACACTCAGCACGCCCATGGATGCGCCCGGCAGTACTGCGGACATTTGGTCCCTCGCTCACCCACCCCCACCCCTCATCACCTACCTCATTGCCCTCTCCCTGACCTGATTTCACAAACCGAGGCCCTGGTCAAAACCCTGCACTGGGAGACGCGCAAGAAGCGTGCCGCGGCGCTCAACGTGGCCGCATTGCTGCAACAGCAGCCGCGCCTGCTGGGGTCGCTGGCCTCCATATCCGCCTGTCGCCCGTCGTCGCGTCGCTCGTGCCGGCCGCTCTTCTGGGCGGCGCAGCAAAGCCCTCTTTGCCAGCAGCAGCAGGGCCCGCGGCGCAGCTGGTGCTTGCAGGGTCCGACGCCGAGGCAACGGCAACAGGCGACGACGTGGCCTCCCAGGCGGCAGACGCCGAGGCGCTCGCAGCAGGCGCGCCGTTGCTGCTCGTGTTTGCGACGCAGAGCGCCCAGCTGGCAGCAGCATGGGTGGACGAGCCGTTTGTCCGCACCCTGATTAGGCTCGCGCACGCGCCGCCGTCGCCGTGCGTGCTGGCTGGCGCGCTAGGCCTGCCACGCCCGCCGACAAGGACGGCGCGCGGGGCGCGGCGGCAGCGGCGCTGCAGCGCGTGATGGCAGACGCGACTAACGGAACACGGACGCGGCTGGTGCTGGAGCAGCTACTGCCGCCGGGGCTGGTGGCGGGGATCGCAGAGGGGCCGCCAGAGGCCGTGCTGCGCATGCTGGCCCAGGTGGGCCGCGATGAACAGGGCGGCTGGTGCCTGGGGCATTGGCCGCTGGGCATCGGGTGGGGTCTTGGGGCCTCCCTAGCCTTGTTGGCATGCCGTCCTGTCCAAGGCCCCCTCTGTCGTCCCACCG